AAACCCTTTTTCTGATGAGAGCATGCCCACAAAAGGAGGTGGAACACATCTTTTCCAATCAGGCTTCTCAAAATTTCTTTGCTTGCAAAGGCCAATTTGTCTTGACATAGAAAGCAGTTTTGAGGGTGGCTGGTATATTAATTGCCTTTGAAAAATTAAAATTGAATGCATGATAGGGCAAGAAGTGAGTTTTGATTTGAGATCATTATCTGTCCTTTCAGTCTGCACTACGCATCTTTTATACTTCGGATTTTAGTCTTATGTGGTCATGAATACACTATCCTTGACCATCACATCAAATCAAAGAGTAGGATGCTTAACATCCTACTCTTTGAGCATGACAAATTTCCCTAAATTTAGCAGTACAACCATGAATCTCATCAGAATCAGCACAACTCAGTGATCCCAGTGATCCCATTTCAAACCCAAAATCAGTCAGAAAGCAAATAAACTATCCAAGTGCACTCTTTCATATGCATACTCATCCTGCACAGGTCATTTCCTCCAGTTTAAGCTCACAAAAAATACAGATACAGGATGTTTCCACAGCTTGTTGCTGTTTCCACCTCATCTTTCCTCTATATTTTTCAGTTCCTTCTCACATCAAAATGCAATGTGTTGGGGCTCAGCCTGCCTGCCTGCCCCTCTCCACCTGGTCTTATTCAGCTCTGAAAGCTCTCTCACTTTTCATTTATGATAACTGATTTCTGATATCACATCTTACAAATATCTCTTTGTACTTTCTCTCCCAATGCCCCTTGTGCTAGGAACAATCTCATAATGCCTGCAAAGAAGTCACTATGTCTTCCTTCAAATTATTATTTTAAAAACTGCACTTACATTAAAATACTAAATGATGGAGTTATAGCTGGGAGTGTAGCAGGATATCAGAACAGGAATGTGAAAGTCATCTTAAATGAGCTGATTCAGAAAATAAATTGAGGAAGACGTGCACAGGAATAATGAACTGCAAAAGCTGCAAAATAAGGAACACTTGCATCCTTCTGCAGAAAAGAAACTTGATTTATGTAAACTATAAATATTAATATTCATGAAGGGTGCTCAGCTGTGGAGATGCAGGTAGGTATCACTTCACTGTAGTTGTTAAAAATACATCTGGAATATACCTAATTTTGAACACCACAGTTTAAAAAATAGGGAAGACTGGAGGAACTCTACAAACAAAAAGGGGCTCATCAGAGATCTAAAACATAGGAAAGGCTGGAATAATGGGGATCAGTAGGGAAGCCTGAGGAAGGTGTTTCATCCTTCAAATGTGCCTAGGAGGCTGCTGCAGAGAGGTAAGTTAGTGTTCCCTAGGCACAAGGAAAATCTTCCAGGCTGGAAGTTTTGTTAAACAATGGGAGAGACTGAAGTTTTTGACTGAGGTTGTTTATTAACCACTGCTCCCAGAACTGGCACTGGTGTGTGAGGTGATGGGCAAAATGGGATCAGCTCTATTTGTTCTAACACCATATTTCTGGAGAAACCCCAAATGGAGGCTGAGGGATTCCTTTAACCAAGTCAATGAGATGTCTCTTGGTAATAAAAAGAGCATATTTCCTCAAGTGCCTACATAACAGCACTCCATTTTGGGGCCACAAGAGGAGAATTGCAGTGGGAAATTTCCTGGGAAGTGCCCAGCACTCACCATACCTGGAACATGGGACTGCATGTGAAGAACTATTTCAGTGATCTGGCAACTAAAGCCCCATCTGCCTTTTATGCTGGAGTGTTTAAGTCATAAGCTGTTAACCCAAAGTTTGCAACACCAAGGTCCACACAACACTTCCACAGGAACTGGAAACAAATGCTCCCTTTTTCCCACTAAAACCAAGGAAATTCTCCTGACATTGAGCACCTGAGGGTACAGAAGGCCAGATTCAGGAATTACCTACTCACATCTAAAAATACAGCCGAGCTCCAAGCTGCATGTTTTCTTCTTTCAGCCCTCTCACATGTTTATCTGCTCTGGCACAAATTCTCAGTCCAGCATTTGCATCTCCCTGCTACTACCCAGAGCTGAGCACTGACTGCTCTTCCTCTTCCACCTCTTCTTCCTCTTCCTCTTCTACTTTTTTCTTCCTCTTCTTCTGATAACAGTGCCTTGCTGTCTGGAGAAAATTAAAATTCCCAGTTATAGCAGCAGCAGCAGCAAGCCCATTGCAGAGTTTAGGGTGTTCACCCACCTAAACCATCTTTTAGTGTCAGACACAATTTTAGGTAGCAGGCCACACAAATAAATCTTGTAGCTAAAATGGCAAAATTTAGTTATTTTCTTGTCATTTCAAAACACGGGGAAAAAGAGATAGTGTTTGCTGAAATAAGTAGTTTTCTTACAAATTGTTAACTATGTGAAAGAATATATTAATTTTCCTTACTGCTCCAGACACTATGCTGGTATGAAAACTAACACAGATATGTGGAAAATAAAAACCTTCAATGTTTATTATGTCCTGAAGTTTGATTAAAAGAGAGAAAAACTGTAGTCATCTCCCATTTCAGGTCAAATTTCTGGCAACTATTATGACCTGTTTTTTCTTTTTTAGTTACTTTAGGGTGATCTTTGAAGGTCCACATATCTCTGATTTCTCTAAGTCCCTGCTAGCCTGGATGCATGGGTCAGTGCTAAGTTTGGACTCGATAAGCAGTGGCCTCTCTTCTCATCTCTGCTGACACCCTGCATGTAATTTCCTTGACTTCCTGCCTGGAACATGTTATTGGTGATATTTACTCCTGTCTGTTTTGGCACAGAGTGTCAGCAGCAGAGCTGGTACAGGGATTTATTGTGAATTTAAGAGCATGAGGTCAAGCTGAGCTGTGTCCTGAGATGCAGCTGATCCTTTTCTCCTCTTCCCTTCCCTTGTCCAGAGAGCCACTTGGGGTCCAGAGAGGAGGGGAGGTCAGAAGCTGGAGGCCATATCTAGGTAAAGCTCCTTATCCTTCAACTTTTCTTTCCCCAGAAGGTATCTTTTGGATATGTCTTCTGATACTCATTTTCCCATCCATGTGAACAGCACTTTGACCTCATCTGTAGCCTGCTGACATAAATCAGACACCGAGACAGAGCCCAGCCCTTGCTGCATGCAGGGCTCTGCTGCCACGGTGCCTCTCTGCCTGCATCGATTCATCATCTGCCCATCTCCAGCTCAGAACAGCCAGAGCTGCTGATAGCCTCTGTTTCTGCCTGTGGCTGTATTTCTGCAGGCTGTGATCATCCCAGATCACACACACAGAGGTCAGGAGGCAGAGCAGCAGACCCTCCCAAAGCCCAGGGGTGCTGCAGGTGTCAGCAGTGACAAGCCCGTAGGCTCCAGGATGGCCCCTGTGCCTCAGCAGGATGCAGAGGAGAGCTCTACTGTCAATATTTCTCTGATGAGAGCAGAAATCCACCTCTTGCTGCTACTAAATATTGCAAACCCCACATGCTCACTTTCCAAAGAAGAAATATGGAAGTGGTGAAGGATCTGGAGCACAAATCTGATGAGGACTGGCTGAGAGAGCTGGGGATGCTTAGCCTGGAGAAAAGGAGGCTCAGGAGTGACCTTTCACTCCCTGAAAGAAGGTTTCAGACAGGTGGGGTTCAATCTCTTCTCCCAGGTAACAAGTGAGAGGTCAAGGCAAAATGGCTTCAGTTGCTTCAGGGGAGGTTAAGATTGGATATTAGGAAACATGTTTTCACAGAAAGGGCTGTCAAGCACTGGAACAGGATTCTCAAAGAAGTGCTTAAATCACCATCTCTGGAGATATTTAAAAGAGATGTAGGTGTGGCACTTAGGGAGGTGCTTTAGTGATTGGCCTCAATGACCTTAGAGGTCTGCTCTTACCTAAACGAGTCCATCAGTTTATATGTCCCACCCATATTCACCAGCTTGCTTTTTCCTAGATGATGTTATGAAAGAGGAAAGACTTTATGTGACGTGACTGTGGTTCAGAGAAGGAGGCTGGAGCCCTCTGTTCTACCTCATGACTCAGTTCAGGCAAAAATTCACCTTTCCTCCAGAATTACTGCATACAAAGTCAGATTTTTCCTGATTGCTTCCAAAGCTACAATTCCAAAACCTCTGAATCTAAACATTTAGGCAACTGACTCAGAGGCTAAAAAGAGCAGTTTCTGGAAGGTTTTCTTGTGATGGAAAAGGAGCAGGGATTATTGCCCCCAGCTGTGAGCTGGGACATTAAACAGTCTTTGAAGGGGGCTTCACCACAGTTCTGCACAGGCAACAGCTCAGTACTGCCAAGTTCTCAGATGTTCCATCTAGATGGTTTGGGGTTTTATTTTGTTTTGTTTTGTTTTTAGAAATGGGTAAAGCACCTGCTGAGCAATTCCTGCAGCCATGGGAAAGGGGCTGCTCCCCATTTCAGGGAAGAGAGTAGAAGCACCAACTAAACAAATGCATTGCCCATAGAAATGTGAAATTAGGTTGCTTCTGCATGTACAGAGTTGGCTTTTGCTCTCTGAAGTAGTTCAGAATCGTAGAAGACTCAAACTACAAACAGACATTGCAGCCTGGCTTCCCTACTTTACCACAGCAGCTAAAAGTTCCCAGGTCTTATTTTTCATTAACCTGCCATCCTGTCTCAGTATGTGTCATCTATCTGTTGCACAAGAAGGAGGGCTTCCTAATAAATTCCCATTTCTTGTCACTTGTGTGTCACATAAAAGGGGAATCCACAACCTGCAAGCCAGCAGCTCCATCCTGCATCCCATCAAATGCCCTCAGTGCCTCAGTGTCACCCTGAGTGCTATCCCAGGGACAAAGCATCCCTGAAAGGGGAGACTGGATTTATATAAGCATAGAGAATCTTAAACTATTGGCTCACATCCCTCAAAAATGGCAAATCAGTGATTTTCCTAGACTATTAACAGACAGAGGCACTCAGAGTTTAGCTCATGCTGCTCAGCTGAGCCTGCTCTCAGCTGAAGTTTGCCAAGGGCAGGCAATGTTCTTAAAGGTAGGTGTATCAGGCACAAATACAGCTGAGGTGGTTCTGAATATTTTGGAGCAAAGAGCACACATTTAGCCCAAAACAGCAGTGCTGGAATTCAGCTCTGTCTGCACAGATATAAAGAGGTGCCTTTTAAAGACCATTATCTCATAATTTTCTAAAATTATTTTCCAAAGGATTCATTTTACTGGTGATATGCAGTATAAGGCAAGGACACATGAAGGCTCATCATAATTATTCCTACCAAATCTGTGAAACTTCCTGAGGAAGAAGTGTAAAGCAAGAGGTAAGAAACAAAACTTGCTGAAGTTTGAGATCAGACATGCAAAAATCATCCTGCCATTGCATTTTAGTGATTTAATTCACAGAAAAAAAGGTGAAGGTGGAGATATTAGAAATATCAGAAGCTGAGCTTGTTGGAAATTAATATAGAAGGCATCGAGGTATACATACATGTTTTATACATATATATATATATGTATGTATGTATATATGTGTATAGATATGTGTGTATATGTGTACGTGTGTGGGATTTTAGATATGTATATGTACCTGACAAGGTTACTTGGGAAGCTGTCCCTCTCATTCAGTCCCTGCTCTCCCTGTACTGTTGTTTTTTGCATCAATATGAAGTGGGGCAGAGCACTCAAATTTGTTCCAGCTTGGGATTCATTTAGCTGGCCTCATTGCTGGGGGAGTAGCAAGCATTGCATTTCAAATTGTCCTCAGTGGCAAACCCCTGCATTAAAGAAATCACACAGGGACTTGAACTAAACAAGGAAAATTAAGAGGAAAAGCGGTAAATCTTCTTTATATGAAGGGTTTACACAATGCTCAAACAATGTTGTACATGAGATTTTAACGAGCAAAATCATGTTTCCGTTGTACAGCAGCCACACAAATATTCAAGCTAGTAAGAAAATTACTTTCTCAACTCTAGGATTAGTTTCTGATAAACAAAGATCCCTGAAAAGGCTGGTGTCCCCTTTTCTGCCTGTAAAATTTGGGCAGGCTCAGGGCCAGTCAGCTCACAGATACCAGAATAGCTCTGAAAGCTCTGAAACTGTTAGAGGGGAAAAACCACTTTGTACAGTGAATGCCAATGGCAGCACGTAACTGGGTGTGCATGTGTGATGGGGTGGATGACCAAGGCTGAATTATGTTGCTGTTCCTCTTCTGTGGTGTACTGCTCTGCATGTTGACTGTTTAGGTCAGGAAAACAGTGGGCTTAGGGGATTGGAAAAAAAAAGAGACTCCAAAAAAGGGTTTCTCAAAAAGAATCGGTTTCCAAAGGAGGAAGTGAGAAAGAAGATGAAGATTTGCTGGGGAAAAGATATCAGATGTGGGGAACATCAAGGAGATCAGGAAGATAAATGCTGAGGGTCAGACAGCAGCCTGGGCTGGCAGTGGGGAGGGAATCCGAGACCTGGTGAGTGCAGTGCAGGGGGACAGTGAGTGGATGTGTGAGATAATTCAGTAAGTTCTAATTAAAAAAGCTCTGATATGACTTGTTCTTAAGTAAATGTCAGATTTAAGGTGGGTGGTGGTTTACTCTGTCTCATCCATGTCAAAGACCCCATCCCAACCAGTCTCCACAATTTTATTGTCCCTTACATAGCTTAGATAACTTGCTTTCCCTCCAGACCATCCCACTCCCTGTGAAAAGGATGAGCTTAACTGATAATGCAGCTCACAGCACAATATTGAACTACACAGTCAATCAGAAACACACCAGTTAAGTCTTTTTCTTTCCTTGTGTGTCCTCTTCGGGTGGCTTCACGCTGATACAATTCATTGAAAATCAAAATAAGTACAATCCTACACAGGGAAAATTGCATTTGAAGGTTTCCCAGAGACTCAGTGGTGACCAGCACTGATAGATTACTTTATCAGCCTTGAAAGAAATATTCAGCACTGTTTTGGCAGCTTTGTCATTCAAGTGGCAGGAAGAATTCAGTTTTCCATTCAGCAGGTGTTAATGCAGTTATATCAAATCCTAAGCATGGGAAAATACAGACACATGCACTTTGCTCCCAACCTTCCCCTCCCCTCTTCAAGGCTCAGCAGCAGAAGGGATCTGACCTGAGATGCCACAGCCAAGTTGTTATTTCATGCCCTGTAAGCCTGTGCCAGATGATTGCATCTTTCCCTCAGGCAGAAGGATGGATAGAACGTACTGGGTCCTTGCTTGCTAACAAACCTTGGGATTTAGTGAGTTTCTCTCTTCAAGCACCAAATCTGTGGCTTTGTTTTGTGAGGCTTTTCACAGCTTTCCTTCAGCCCTGCTGAACGTGTGTCTTTAGACTCAAAACGTTGGCACTACTGTGAAGAGTTCAAATTTCTTTAGGAGGGAGAAGAACCAAACTGAGCAGGGCTTACCAGAGAAAATGACGCTTAATGCAGGAATATTTGTTCTTTTCAGGCTTAGCCCTTTATTTGTCAAGAAAATGGGAGATTGTTGGAGAAGGAAAAGGTTTCCTGCAGATAAAGGGATGTCTTTTTCAATGAGATACCAGAACATCTTTATTATACGAGCCCAAACCATTTGGGAGTTTGTACCATGAGTGGTGAAAATGTATAAACACTTTTGAAGGCCCCTTTGGAATTCCCTCAGCTCAGCTCCAATACTGAGAAACCATTGCTGTTTATGTATGATTATTTTAAAGTGAACTAAGAGAAGATTTAGCTCTCTTGGTCTGTAGGGTAGCAGCTGAAGCAGAGGAGCCATCTGAGTGTCTGGGATGGCCAAAGGAGAACAGGAGAAATGAGAGCCTTCCCAAGAGAAGCTGTTCCTTGCTGTGAGCCAGGGGAAAAGTCTTTTAGCTGCAGAGGAGGAAAAAAGAAAGACATTTCTAACAAACTCAGTAAAAAAACTTGAATAAGCCTGATTTCTTACAGCAAAGTGAAAAAATCTCTGCTTAACTATAGCAGCTGTGGGGCTGGGGCCTGTAATCGGGGTTCTGATAGCCTCAGTATTGATCACAGAAATAACAGAGGACAAAGGATCCCTCCAGCTGAGAGACACAGAGCAATGCTCAAGTTTAAATGTTCCTATTTCTCACAGAGTTCTGACAGCCTGTACAAAACTCCCTCATCACCTTTTCTTGTTGTTATTTCTGAAGGCCCCACTCCACACTCTGTGTATCCATGCTGCTTTTCCTGCTGAAGATACCAACCCAAGGGAAACTGAGCCCATGAAACTTAGAAAGACCCTTCTGTCTTGGGTGAGAGAGGCTCAAGCAAGGCCAGAAATCAATATAATAGAGTTGAAGAAATGAAAGCTGGAGATTCATATACCTGATACCATGATTTTTGTACTCAAGTGTATCTCTTCTACAGATGACCCCAATCCACCTACCTTCATGCCCTCTTGAAAATGCTACCCAAATGCAGGACAAGCTGGAGGTCAGTTTTCCTACCCCCTTTATATTGTACACATAATTGATATTTTTGTGATTTGTGCCTGCTTCTGAAATTGTCCATGAAAGTATTTTGAAATGCTTGACTTTATTTCATCCAAAATTGAACTGTAAATCTCTTTTATCAAAAGATACTGTACTAGAACAGGCTGCTTGTGCATGTGACTGAAATATTCCAAATTTTTGTTGAGCTGATCAGCTGCGACAATCAATTATTATCATTAATTTTATTGTTGTACATGCTGAAACATAGAAATCTAAGCTTTAGGTTAAGGAATAAATCTGAAAATATCCACAATTTCTATATTAGTGAAATTTTACTACTTCACTTTTTTAGTAAGAGTTCTTAATATTCTTTTTAAAATAATTTTTCCATTAAAATATTGAAAGAAAAAGAAACAGTTCAAGAAAATGTAATTTATATCTGAAATATAACAAGATGTATATTGCTCATTTTAAAATCAAATTCCAGCTAAACATGCATTTTAGGAAAGATGACATCTTCTAGATGTTTTAGCATAACTCTGATCTTCTATACTGCTCTTTCACCTTCCTGAAAGAGAGTTGGTTTCTGCATTTCTGATTGTATTTTACCACAACAGTCAGGAATAATATGATCTAGCATGTTGTTTCTGAGCTGATTTCCATACAAAGTAAATGATCTTTGCAGCAGAGGATATTCAATAACATTATAACATAATAAGATAACCTTAGCATAATAAGGAGATATGGCTAGATTCTCCAAAAATATAAATTAGTGTACCTCCACTGAATAAAAAGAACTATGTCATTTTATATTGGCAAAGAAGCTGTGTGATAGACAGTCAAGTTGGTTAAATAACTATTTTCTTGAATTATTTGCTGTATCTTAAGAAAATGAATAAATTAATTCCTTGTGAATACCTTTTCAGTATTACTCTTAAACAAAATATTTATGAAAGGTTTAAGGGACTCTTGTCGTATTCTGATCGGGTAGAGCAGAGTGATCTGACACTGTGAGCCAGGCAGTAACACTCCCAACGCAATCTGTGCTTGCCTCCTGAGGTGACAAACATCACTAGCAGAGCCTAAGTGTAGTGATGGGAGAAGCTTTTGTTTTAGCAGCCAAACTGTGACAGAGGGCAGCAGGCACAAACTTAATTCTGTCACATCTCCTACTTGCTGTTTAGAAGGGCTTAGCAGAGCACACAGGGTGTGATGTGATCTCACTAAAATTCAAAGATGACTTAGTCGCGTTTCTTTTCTAGCATTTTAACCTCTGAAACATAAATTATACAGCAGAAAAGCAACAGTTGTTTCAAATGCAGGTGCTAAAGCACAGGCAGCAAGGAGCAGATGGCAGGCAGTGTTACAAACATCCAGAGATTTAAGTGTCAGGGACTGTGGCTAGCAGCATTCTCTTATGGACCAACATATTATATTGTGTTAAAGGGTGCATTACTTACAGCCTGTGAAGGTCTGGAAAGCCCTGCCACAATGTCAGGGGCACTTGCTTAGACAAATGGCCTTGTTATATGTTATTGGCTTTCAAAAGGTTAAAAAATGCACCTGCTGTACAAGACAGACAGCTGTTCAACCCTTTTGATCATCATGTGGTCTCTGTTTCATTTTCATTTCATACAGATCCAAAAAAGATCAATCCAGAGCTAAATGAGCTCACAGGACACGTAAGTAATTGTGGTACCTATACCCAAAAGCACATAAGAAAATGCTCTCAACACCATAATGTTACTGATGTCCTTAGGGCACATTCTGAAAAAAATCTGGGGTGCAACTTGTGGCACCAAACCCATGATGGAGCAATGCATTAGAGTTCTTTCCTTCTTTTAGCACTTTTGATTTCAGCCACGAATCTCAGGCTAACTCTGCAGCTACCACAGGATTCTGCAAGATGAAGTTTACATGAAATCTCTTTTTTTTAACAAAAAAAAAGAGGATAATTTTCAAAACCCCTTCTATCTGATAAAAGCAAGTGCTATACAGGAAAATCAGCCTTCTTTAACAGAGAAAAGGAAGAATATTCAAAAGAAGATTCTTATCTGATAAAAATAAATGTTATAAAACTTTAAGGCAGGATCTGAGCTCTGGGCAGATGAATGTTCAGACAGATAAGAAGTTGGTGAGAAAAACAAGTTCAACCAGGGAATTCCCTTTGACTTGGTATTGATAGTATTATTGTCAGGAAAACAAGAAATAATAAGAAGTCAAAAGCACAGAGTTAAGAAGCACATTCCCCTAAGCTAGAAGTCTGCTTCCTTTTAAACCTCTCTAAATAGTCTCTGAGACCCAAATATGATATGAATTCTAAAAAAAAATACTAGTTAAATAGAGACACTCAAACCGCCTCTTGCAGCAAATGAGCAAGATGAAGTCAGATGTGGAATCTTGGCCAGGGTCAGAAGGGAGTTAAGAAAAAAACATTAGATTTAACCCACAGAAGTCAAATCTCATGGTCAATTGAGTCCCCTGGCTCTGCTTCTACGAAGCATTTTCAGCTGACGAGATCAGGCCAAGCAATGCCTTTCAGTATTATCTTTGCTTCAAGTTACAGAAACCCTGTGAGTAAAGAGATGAAATTTTAATTGTGCTTACTGAAATGGGGAATGTGAAGACAGGTCAACAATATTACCAAGAATAAATAGTTTAAAAAGCAGATGGTTCTATAAGAGAGACAAAAAAAAAAACTGTGTTATTGTGACAGGAGCTGCATAGAGACATGGTTTGAGGTGAGAAAAACCTCCAAAAATTTTGAAATTTCCCATGAAGGAGAGCTCTACCCAGTGACCAAGAAGAGCAAGAGTGGATTGTGTGGAGTCTTCAGAGACATTTAATTCCAACAAAACCACAAACCCTTTATGTCTTTATTGCTATTTGAAGTATTACATATTTATCTATAGGAAAAAAACCAGCAAAGTAGGCAAACAGTGACTTCCAAATGAATAAAAAAAGTTTCAAAAATTTTAAGAAGAGACAATGTCAACTTCTTAGAATCATGATCTTTCCTTTTTAGAGTGAAAATTAAAATGAGTCAAGGTACCTAAATTTCAGTGGTGTAAAAAACATTCCCATGCACTCCTTGTGGCTCCATTGCATTTCTTACAAGTAGCTTTATGAGTAATGCACATTAGATCCAGAGGTTGTCATATATATTGACAGCTTCCAGAAGTCTTATCTGTAAAGAAGAGAAGGAATATTTAGCTATTTTTGGAAGGCACTGGGTGCAGGTCTATTTCTGTAACTAAGTTTATATCCATGTCACTGGTACATGCTAAAGAGAACCCTAGCTATGTGCATAATGAGACATACACAAGAATACTGAAAAATATTAATAAAACCTTTGAATTTTGCTTTGTGAGTGAGAATTACAGCATCCTTGATATAAGCCCAGTGTATTGCAGTGACTGATTTCCAGGAAGAACTTTAAATCACAAGGTAAAATATAGCCAACACAGAATGAGGAAGTAGTATGCAAGCTCAGTAAAAGAGGAGATATTAAGGGTAAGACGACCTAATTGCCCCAAAGAGTTTGTGATTCAGTGGCAGGTCTAATTTTGTCAGTGACACATGTATTTGAGCGGAAGACACCTTCATTGAAAGAACCACTATTTAATAGTGAAAGGATTTTAGACATTTTATCATGTTCCTTGCTATCCTTCAGGCCCAGCTCAAGTCTCTATCACTAGCTCTTACAAGGAGCTAAAGACAGCTTTATAAAACAAATTGGTTCCCTTTCATTATAAAGAGACTCAGAGAAAACTAGCATTTCATTCCAGGGGAATTTAAGAGTCCAGCTTTTTTTCTGGAAAACTACCCACTTCTGCACAGGAGAAATTAGGAGGCCAAATGAGTTTCATTGCATTCTCACACACTGGGCAGTAGGAGTCAACTATAGACCATGAGACAAAACAATAATTAAAAAAATATATATATTGAGGAGATCATTGGAAAGAAATTCATAGGAAAATACAGAGTGTATCATGCTACACTCTGGGAGAACAGACTAAAGTGAGGGCAAAAATAAGATGAATTTACATTCCCTTTAGGCCCACTCCATTTCAACAGATATTGAGCAGCAAAAGGGCCCTGAGGTATAAATTAGAGCAACAGCTGTTCTTAGCTTGCAACACCTCATGTTCAGCTGCCTGCAGACTCTGTGAAACTCAAGACACCTGAATAACTATTTCAGAAATCTTAGAATTCATTTTTTCTGGGTAATGTGCATCCCAAATCCCGATCAATCTCTTTTGGGTTCAAACCCTGTGCCACTGAACCTCACTAGTTAGACACTTCACCCCCTCCTTGGCTGTCTAGGTGAAGCTACCTCTCACTGCTCAGCAAGGAAAGGGATTGCTTTCGTTAATTGTTCCCCTAATGACTCTATCCCCAGGACAGAAGTAAATGTCTCTCTCCTAACAATAACATTCAATGGGGAATTTGGACAGAATGCAAGCCTGCTTTAGCTTCTCTGACAGAGAAGAATCGACTAGTTTTGTATCAATAACCAGCATTACAGGACACCAGGATCACAGGCATCAGATAACACTGAAATTAAGTAGCACAGTTGCCACTCTTTATCTCTGCGTGGTTTGCTTCTGATCAGTCACACAAAGATTATTAGGGAAAGCAGCAGGCTTGCTTAAGCAAAAATCAGGAAACAGAGTTAAAAATTTTGGCATATTTCCAACATCAAAGCAATTCTGCACCTTGTTTACCTGAGCACAACCTGCCAGATGTGGGGTGCTCTGACACCTAGAAATATTGTCCTGTGGAAAACAGCCACCCCCTCAAGCTTGCCTTTCCTACTTTATTGCAGCTCTTTTGCATATTCACTTCCTAAGCATCTCTTACCCACATTAGGACATAACTCTTGCTGGCTACCCAGAAGACTTCTGCTGTGCTTAGCTCAGCACTTATCCTGCTTGGTCTCCTGGTTACTACAGCCTGACTTCATAGTTCTCTGTACTTCATGATAAAACAACTCAAACTTTC